CAAGACGAAGGACCCGGATGGTGTAGTGGTGAAGTGCGCTGCTCCCCGGTAAGGACAACAACGCGTGTTCGTTCTCCACTTCATACACCTGTGGTCCGGAGTTTTGCAGATATCTCAGCATTTCATACGAAAGATTTCACTGTTTTTTTCTTTTGAGAAGAGGATGATGAGTGAAGTCTTCTGCTGGTCGAGTATCTCTTTTATTTACAACCATTACGTTGTATACAGTACAGGTAGAGCATGTAGGTAGTGTTCTGCATCATATTGTAGATCGGACACGCGGCGCTTCAATCTTGTGGTTACATCTCGAAGTTCTACTGTGAGAACCGTTATTGACGTTGTTCTAAAGGAAATGGTGACCAGAGATACTGTGAAGTTGAAAGAACCAGTGTAGAATTTGTTATTGACTCCTTCTTGCGCTGGGAAGTTGTGGTTCGCGTGGTTCGTCTGTCATATTATGTTGAAAAAATTAGACTCGTTGGTCATTCTCATGAAATACGCCTTCACTTCTTTTATCCGTTCGTCTTGCAGTGGGTTCTGTCGGTCACTTAATGAGTAGGTTATCGCTGTTTTGCTTTACAAACGGCTCAACTACCAATTAAAGAACACCGCATATTAAGGTGAGTCTGGCGGGGGTATGCCACATTATGCACAGTTCTATGCTTTCCCCCGGAGTATTTCGAGATAACAATGAGTTCTTCTGTGGTTTAACGGTTCTTTGTTTTTTCTTCTTTCTTTCCACAATAAATTTTCAGAATGCAAGCGGTTATGTTCGGGTGGAATTCGACGAAGCGGGCGAAGAGGAGTTGCTGCTCGTCCGCGTGTTATGCCAGCTAGGAATGAAAGTCTTAGGGAGGAATGTTGCGCTAGTGTGGTGTCGGATGAACTAGGTGAGTTTTAAAAGTATACCTACTTTTTATGTACAGCTAAATTTTTCTGATCGTCCATCTCTGTTTTTGTAATGTCGTGCTTTGGGACTACCGAAGTCTTACGAGCCTCTTTGCTAATCCCCTCGATTGATTTTATCTTCTTTGCTTTAGTTTGTGCATTTGCTTTCCATCTTCTCATTGATCTCGTTTGTAACCTTCATCTATTTTCCTGGATCACTTTAAATCACTCATTTCATTGTGTTCTTGTTTAGCAAACACGAGGTTTTTGTTTTATTTCTTTATTTAAACACAGGCTGACGTGTCGACGGATTTCGCCTTCCTCAGAGCCTGGAAAGGTCAAGTTAACAGCAATCTATTCGGCCAAACACCTCCATAACCAAAGAGGAAGAATTGAGCCAAGATTTCAATCACATTGAACGCAGAATAGCTTCTTTACACATTCACCGCTTTCTATGAGTCTTCCACTGAATATGTCACGTGGAGACCAACTGCACAGAGTTCACATGAAAGCGTAATGTGCCCCTCCCATCAGAATAACAGGTTTAAATACAGTTCAGTATCACGTGTGATTATGAGACATTTCTCCCTGTGGTTCATTTTGGATCCTTGGAGTTAATCCAATACGTCTCTTTTCACCTAGAATTAGAAACACTCATTTCATTGTATCTTTACATCGTACCTTCACTTCAGGCCGATACTTTTTGCTTTAGAGGAATTTTAACGATTGAAGGAACTAGACATTTCTGCTAGCACATCAATTTCAGCTCGCAATCTGCCTGCCGAATTAGACGAAAGATTTTCGGTGGTACGGTTAATCGGTGATGGAAATACCGCCTTTGTTTACGAGGTTATTGATCGGTGAGTTAGTCTTTACTGGCAAGACCTTCATTAATTGGGTTTTAAAATTTGGACAGCAACGCACAGATTTATGTTCCTGTATAGCTTCCATATATTCCTTTACCTATTTTTTTCACAAGATGCTCTCAAGAGCATAGCGCATTGAAAGTGATTGCTCGCGATTCGGCTGTTGGAAAGGTTGCATTGATAGAAAGCGAACTCTCTATCATGAAAAGTATTGGACATCCCTACATTGTCCAGATGTTGAACAGTTGGACGATCGATGGCGCCTACTATCTATCTCTTGAACTTGTTGAGGTATATTTGGCAATATTTTGCTTTTTAATTTTTCTCTGTTTGTTCGATTTTATTTAGTGAGTTAGAATTCTTCTGCCGTTTTAGGGCGGCGACCTTTTCGAACATTTGTATGCTGTTCGACGACTCTCTGAACAACAAGCTGCACGGCTAACGAAGTGTTTGGTACAAGCATTAACGTAGGTGTATCATGAATGTTGTTACCCTCAAATTAAGTGTAAGGTGCTGTCTCTTTATAATATAGTTTTCATGATAGGTTGACAATAATACGTTAGTGCGATGTGGTCTACAAGGTTTCTCATTTTCAGGTACCTTCATGATAACTCAATAGTTCATCGTGATGTAAAGCCTGAAAATTTGTTGGTAAGTGTGGAGAATATAAGGGATTCATTTTGTAACACATTAGGTACCATCTGCAGTGATATAAGCTCACGAGTGGGAAAGAACTATAATGGGTCATCTCCATTGATTTCATCGCATTTTCTTCCTGGACCGCACGTTTCACCCTGCTGGGTTTTTTTTTCGCACTACTTTATGTGAAGTATTGTCTGTAAGAAGGTATTTAATGCACTAAGCAATTGCAGGGATTATTCGAAAGAGTTTCTTCATTAAGTAGCGTGAGTGCGCCTATCAAAAAGGGTGTTAAAGTTTCTTTGTCACTGAGACTGTATTTCTATGCATGGATACAGAGTGCCAGAATGCTCCGAGATAGCATATCCGTGAGAACCCTATGTGGGGACATGAAGATTAAGAAAATTCCGATGTATACTCAGCATACGTTTTAAAATCATCTACTAAAGGTTGACATCGTCATGGTGAGGCAGATGATAGGTTTTTTTGCTACGCATAGGGGCTCAAAATGTTCCGAAAATACCATACCTCTCTATATATTTATATACATATATAATGTAAAAAGGGATAAGGATACGTAACGCGTCAAAAGACGGAAAGGAGGATAAAAATACGTGTAAGGGCTAATCATGGAACGAAAAATTTAGGAAACAAAACTTTCGAGACGCAACAGACCCGAATTAGGTGCACACTGCGCTTAGCAAAAATTAGGTATAGTGCCACGTACCCTTTAATACGGTTTGGAACCAATTTCTTTTTATGTGGGTCACCGTTGTATTTCTTTGGTTCACTTACCAATCGTTTGCTGTCTCACCATATCTCACTGTCTTTTCAAGTGTCGAGTTGCCGTTTAAATTTTAGTTTATCCTTGCCGTAGAACGTTGAGTTAGTTATTTATAGTAGCTCGGCATTTCAAGCTGAAAGGTAGGCTAAGAGTAAACTAGATAAAGGATCTAGAGGCTCTCCGCGTTGATCAATCTCTGAGAGTTGCGCCATGTTTTCGACATCGTCAAGCATCGTTAGAGGTGACTGAATGCATATTTGGCCTTTAGAATGACTCGTGGCGACCTACGGATGTATAGAGTCAGTACTGCTATTCTCCCAGGCAAGTCTGGTACCAGTTTGTTCACCCCAGAGAAATTGAACTTTCAGTGAGCATCTGGCGTGGGATCGATCCCATGTGTTTTTCAGGGTGCCTCTAACCGCTACGCTCGACGCCCCCAATAAACTAGAAAGCAGAACTAATAAAGCTAGCTAGAGGAAAAACGGACCTACTAGACCAGTAAAATACCAGCCGTCATGTTTCGTTGCACTATTAATCGAAACGAGTTCTATAAATACATAGTGAAAACCATGTTGATATATTACAAAACTCAGAATTAATGCAGATTTTCAATGAGGAGCTTATGCATAAATAGTTTTCTGTCTATTGAACTAGACTGTAGACAAGAATTTCTTTCGTTATCTTCTGGTAGTCAGATATTCATTCCAGTTATATACCGGTCCACACGGTGAATTTGAACTGAAGTTGGCCGATTTTGGTTTGGCCACAGAGTTACCGGAAGATGGTGGGAAACTGACAGTTATTTGTGGCACACCAACATACGTTGCGTCAGAAGTCATCCTTGAGACGGGGTAGGTCACAAGGCTTTTCTTTCGCTTTATATTATGTGATAAACGTGAGTTGAAATTTGATTTGGATAGCAACGCACTTATTTTTGGCGCTTATTTCGCTCCTTGAATACCACTGATGTCCCATATATTGGTTTCAAATTGTTTTCAAAAATTTAGTTACGACGAGAAAGTAGATGTATGGGCAACAGGAGTGATTTTATACGTTATGTTATGTGGATTCCCTCCATTTCAGAGGTATGCCACATAGTTTTTCAATTAACTAATTCTTTCAGCAGTTCAAATGAGGGCAGATATACCAATCAATTCTAGTTTACACTTCGACTACAATTTGTATCCTAACCGTTATATATGTATAACGGGTAGAAGGATAAAGCTCTCGGCGTTGATCAATCCCTGAGGGATGCGCCATGCATTTCACTTCACTAAGCATCGTTTGGAGGTGATTGAATGCACATTTGACATTTAAAATGACTCGCGGTGGCGCCAGTGCTGCTATCCTCCCAGACAAGTGTACTACCAATATCAAGGGCGCGTGTGGTGCAGTGGTTGGAGGCGCCCTGCAACACACACGTAGAATCGACCTCCGCTCCCGTGGCGTGTATGTATGTATATGTGTATATATATAATATATATATTTGTAGGTATATATATGTACATATACTAGTTACAAATTTGACACTAATGTTGAGGATTTTAACTTTTTATTTGCTGCCTACCAAAATTTTTCACGGCAGAGTATTATGTACAATACAACCACAATGATGTTGAAATGTTTGCAAGAATTCGGACCGCAGGTGTCTGCGGTGGGGAACGGACGCCCCACTACCCTTTCTGGGGGCACTGAGAGATAGACGGAACGAGGGACCCGCATGGTGTCCTGGTGAGCGCATTAGCCCGGGAAAGGGTAGCATCAGGTTCGTTCTCCACTGCAGACACCTGCGGTCCGGAGTTTTGAAAATATCTCTTCATCATTGTGGTTATGTTGAGCATGTTATGTGCATCAACGTTTTCCTTGCTAAGAGGTGTTACACGGGTAATGCCATAGTTTTCAGCTCTGACGGTTCGCAGGATGACCTTTTTGCACAAATAATGCGTGGCCGCGTGACTTTTCCGTCCCCAGCTTGGGATGAAATTTCATTCTCAGCAAAAGCATTAATTCTACTACTTGTAAATGTCAACAAAGAGGAACGATTTTCCGCTCAGGACGTCCTCGACAACCAGTGGATTAAGGTTGGAGTCATCGTTGTACTTTTTGTCACTGCATTTTCTTCTAAAATCATGGATTTGTGTGATAACAGCTCTTCTATCTTGTTTGTAAGTTTCATCTGGTATCAGATCATGAGAGTTGTTCATATGAATTATGGACATGCATTTTCTTTTCGACTAAGGTTCCACTAACATTTGATGCATTCTGAGTTTCTCTTTTTCCCTTTTTTTTCTATTGTCTAAGTGCATCCTGTTGTGTTCATTTCCTAGACATATTTCAGACGCTGTCCGATGTCTCATCAGATTTCGAGGCAATGGCTGAATTTATAGTTGAATCACGGGTGGATGCTGATGTGAGTCTTGTTAATACTATGTATTGTTTTTGTACATGTATGTTGTTACAAGGACGCAGGATATACAATCATCCGCGAAAAATACCTGAAGACAGTGTTTTAAATTTCAGGTGGACGTGGAAGAGACCGATAGAGAATACTATGTGAGTAGACGAACAAGTATGGACGAACTGAGTGAAAGTGGTCGAGCGGAAAGTTATGAGTTCACGTTTTCACGGAATTACAGCTAATGTTGGATTTTCCATTCCAATTCAAGTATTGGATTGAATATCATCAGATTTGCTATTTTAATAGAAGGTTGAAATCCCAGGATAAAGCGCCTCTGGTGGAGTAGGAAGCTTATTTCGTTAGGCATTAGTCAGCTTGTTGCTATTGTTATGGTTTTTTGAAGAAGATATGGCTCGTGCTGTTCCCACCATTTGTATTTACTAGATTTCACCTTATTTGACAAACTAGGATGGCTCGGTTTTTGTTAATCTTGTTAGTAAATGTGAAGAGATGCCGCTGCTCTTTCAAGGCCTTCTGTGACAACATCTTTGCTCATTCATGAGAACGCACAGTGTTTTTTTAGAGGTAAATTTGATTAGCGGGAAGAAATGTTCAAGTAAGAAGTTGGAAGACTATCTTAATAAACCCCATGACCGACTTTTTTTAAACCTCGTCATTGATCAAAGCTTTACTGTCTTCTTAGTGAGGAAACACGAGGTTGTTATTAAAGCTTTTATTTTTTCACAAAGGCTGATGTTTCAGCAGTTTCGCCTTCTTGAGATTCGTTTTGTTCTTTGTAAGTCCTCAAGTTATTGCGGGAGACCAGCTGCACATAGTCTTACATGGGTGTGGATTGCTCAACAGATAATCAACGGCTCATCAAGAAGACGGTGAACCATTTTTTATGTTTTTAAGAACTGTCGTTGATAAGCTGAACGATGTTGCGTTACACGTTTTTCCTTAATAATGGGTGAAGTTTCAACAACTGCACCTTCATGGTTGACTTTTATGGGAATTTGTTATTGTATACACTTATTCGTTTAAGCAGCATTGATGTGAAAATGAATTGACGGGAGAACCGCTCACTGCCACAGGTGACTAGGCTGTGTATCTGAAACTTTTTTTTAAACTCAAACAAGTTCAAGATATTGCTGAGTATTTTGAGAATTTCTTTCACGACGACTGAAGTTTGTGTTATGAATGTATGCCTTTGAAAAGTTTTTCATTTATTGATAAGTTAATACGAGACTATTACCATTTTTTATTCAGCTAACGTTTTGAGATCTTCCTCTTCCTCAGAGCCGATAGTCCGAGTTGATGGTACATAGTGGTTCATTTTCTCGATGTAGTGTCCGTATGGTGTCGAATTTTCTTTAGTGGAGCACCACTCGAATTAAAAAACCTCACCCGGTGGTGCTCCTTTGCACAGGACAATTTTTGTTGATAATATTTTGTAATATAGTAATAGTAATACTACAAACCATTATCACCAGATAGTCGTATCACCAAAAGACGATAACCCTGTGTAAAAGAGCGCTGCCGCATGAGTTTGCCTCATTCTAGAGGTGTTCCACTGAGAGTGGATCATCGACTCAGACCATCGGCTCTGACGAAGTTGAAGGCGTTGAGACGTTACCCGAATAAATCTGTCAACCTCGTGTTGGCTCAACAATCCACGGAGGGATTGATTATTATTGCTGAGGTTAAACGACGGTCAGTTTGAAAAATAATATTTTGTGTTTCAACTGACAGTTCATCCTGTAGCAGTCAGTGTTACATTAGCTAACACAGCGAATAGAGGTTTTGTTTTGAGTCTATATTGAGGCTGCAGAACAAAAATTTTCATTGAATAGAGCTATTTAAAAATATCTCCGTGTTCTGATGAAGGTGAAGTTGCTGAAGTTATTGTTTATTCAGTTACACATTATTTCTCATCGTAGACACTTTTGTTTGAGATTTAATAATCTTTTGAGCGTAATCTTGGTCATGCTAGTATGAAGGTGCACTGTATTGTTATTCATCTCATTTTAACGTTTTTCTCTAGTCGCTTGTAATTGAGTTAAGCTATTCCTAGTCTAAATTGTGCAGCTTCTTTTTTTTTGGAACTTATAAGCAAAAGTCTTATTTTTGCTCACTGCTATAAATCTGTAGGGTTTTCTGAAAAGAAAAGCGCAATTTTCTGATCTGTCTTATGACTTGGTGTCTGTATGTTTATCTCATTTACACTGTGTAGTTTCTCAGCGTTCTGGTTATGCTTACAGTGTTTCGTTCTGGAGGAGTTTTATGCGTTTGTAGTTATTCAGGTGGGAAGGCCTTCTAATTCGTTCATCTTCGTCTTATTGTATTCGTTTGTCTGCACTTTCGTGATTTTTTTATCGGTTCTAGCCATAATAATTGGAAATGTCCTGTCATGATGCATATGCGAGTTACTTAAGAACACTTTTTTCTTCACTGTTTGTTTAGTTTGGATTTTTTTTTTAACAGCAACGAGTGGAAAATTAGTTCAACTCCATCGTGTTGTCTTTTAACACATTCCAAAAGACGTCACCGCTACAGGAGTCACCAGTAACGGAACTTGTAACCATTGTGACTTTAGGTGTCATAGCGGCGACTGTGGCGAAAAATTGGGCGTCGCGTTCTGCTCTCATTACTGGTTCCTACAATCTCTCAACAGTTCATTTAAGAAGGCGTCGTAGATGTTACTGTATGATTTCTTATGTGCTGGATTTTAATATAAATCAGGAAGCAAGGAGTGGATGTACTTCACTGATTTTAAATCATAGTGTGCGGCACAAAAAATTGTAAAAGCAAGGTCAGTTGGCAGATTGCCTTTTGAAAAGTGCAGAGTAATAAAATTTCACATATTCTATTTCATCATACTCATGTTCGTAAAATATCCACTGGCACCTTAGGTGTCGAACGCCTTCCTGACCGTGCGCGATGATCTCAATGTAGTTGATGAAGTACATGCGACCGTAAGTATTGATTTCGATGCGTAAGGTTTTTGCTGGTTCCTAATCTTGTTAGATATCTTACATAGAGGTTAAGGTAGAACAGGTCCAAGAGGAATGGTTTCCATTTCGTTTGATTTTTTTTTTGGTAGTAGTAAGATTTTGAAGAAAGTTCAGCAATGAGTGCGATTTGGTCTTATTAACAATAAGTCCATATGCAATGGGTGGAAGTGACACTGTGGCGAAGTGCTTAAATATCACTTGCAATGCACTTGTGGTCCTTAGTTCGATCTTGCGCCTCCAGTTCATTAAGTCTTTGATCCTTTCGCGGTCGTGAAATTGCTACTAGAACTGTCAGAGAGGATAGCAGCATCGGGTTAATAGGTTGGTAGGCCACCGATAGTCATTATATGGAGTAACTACGCGTTCGATCACCTCTTACAATGCTTGATGATGTCGAATGCACTGTGCTTTCCTCAGCGACTGTTCAGCGTCGATAGTTCTATCTTTTATCTTTCACTAGTTTTTAACTCCGTTCTTGAGGCGAATGATATAGCATCATTTCATCGATACTGTCATCGTCCATCTAAAAAATGCACAACCGCAATGATGTTGAGATATTTGCAAAACTCCGGACCGCAGGTGTCTGCGGTGGAGAACGAACGCACTATTACCCTTTCCGGGGGCAAAGGTGTTCACGACCACACCAAGCGGGTCTTTCGTTTCGTCATTCTCAGCAGGTTCATTAATTTGTAGGTGCTATCAGCAATCACCCGTTAATGGAATTCGTCTGAGAAGCATATGTCATACATTTACATTTCGGCCGTCTTTCAGCTAGTTCTATAAAAACTATCATTGTTATTTCGACTACATCCTCAACTTAACAGGGTTCGTTGCCGATTTGGGCTCCCTAGATCAATCCCATTGACGGGCGATTGCTGATGGAGCTGATCGATAGAACTAGTTGAGAGACATGTTTTCTCGTCGGTGCACCTTTTGAGCAACCACAAGCTGGCGGTTCCACCTACCTAACCTGACTGTGTTGGATAACCAAGACCATATTGTTAATTTGAATCTTCCAGTATCAGTAAGTACTAGCTGGCGTTTATGTGCATGTACGTTGTTCAAAGGTCTAGGGTTTCAGCTTTTCAGCAGCTTCAAGAATTCTTGATCGATGGATTCAATGGAAACTGACACGTGAATTCCGAAGCATAACACTTTCACAAACAATAAATATTGTTTCTGTTAAGCTGGCCGTGCAACTGTAATAGAATGCCACCAATACAGATCACTTTAATGATTTAACATCTTGTCGTAGCGAAAAGATTGAATCTGCGTTGAACTCCAGCATTTAGGCACACCAAAGAGACCTATGTGCCCTTCTTAACAACAGTGGTCTTCGTGGATTTTTGAATTATTGTTACATAAATAGCTTTTCAGATGCGATATCCAGCATAATGGTCTGTATTTTTAATAACTGACCATTAGTTAACCTCGGAATGAATAGTCTATGTGTTTTTAGTTTAACTGTGTTCAATGTCGATTTATGCTCTCCAGAACATTCGTTGGCGGATGATTGCAGATAGCATCATTGGAGTTTTGAAAAAAGACTAGCTGAAAGAAATGCAAAGCAAGGTATGTGGTGGAGATGAGCTGTGCCTACGGTAAAGGTAATCGCAGGTTCGAAGCACACCTAAGGTTCCGAATTTCGCTAGTATCTCAGCATCCTTGTGACTGTATTTCATATAATAACCTTTTATGGGAAAGAATAAGCAGTAATTGAAGAGTTAAAGCATATTTTTGTATTGTTCAGTTTGCACGAGGCTGTTATAAAATTTTCACTCAGCCAATATTTTGACTCTTTCGTCTTCTTCAGAGCCGCGATTATTCGAGTCGGTTGTCTACAAAACCATTCATACTGGTGATATGGGTCTTTGTAGTCGAAGCGAGTCGAATCTTCTGGAGCGCAGCAGGGCTTAGTTATCGCTGAAACAATGGTATGCATAGGATTACTTGTCTATCGCGTATAGAAAATGCAACAGATAACCTTTAAAAAGTCCAAAGACGGCAAACTAAGCGGCCACAGCGAGGATGAATTTATTTCAACTCACATCGGCTAAATTGCAGCTCCCATGTAGTGGTCTACTTGTATTGGACTCAAGACATTGATAGAAAAGAGTGCGGAACGTATTTGTAAACACGTAGAGCGTAAAATGTCAAACGCGGTCTAAATCTAGAAAAATTTGCTTGTAACATTTACAACTCTTTGAGGATGTTCTTCAGGGATTTTT